CCAAGTGGGTAAAGCATTGCTAAATATAAATATTTTGATTGGAAAGATCGAAAGTATATCCCATCAAATTAAACCTTTCGACTTATACCATTAAATTCAGAAAATTAGATAATAAGAAATTTATCTGGTACTTCCTGTAGAATTTAGTGTAGAATACATGTTTTCTCTGAATAAAAACTAGATTCGGATAATTTCTTATTTAATTTTACAAATATGAATAACACTTAATTCAATGATTCAACTTAGGGTTATAATTGGGAAGATTTAATAATATATTTAGATAATGAATTACCTTCTAATATGTCTTTATAATTAGAATTTAGTTGCAATTCCATATAAATTCCAATATTTAATAAAAAATTACCTTATAATCTTCAAGGCAGTCACAATAATTATAAATTAAGAGTTGAAGTTAGAACTCTACCATGTTAATTTGGTGAAATTAAGAGTTTTATTAACTTCTCTTGCATTCTATGTGATAATAGTCAAGGTTTATTCTCTTTAAAATTGAATTCACCTAAATGTGAAGTAAAAGATGATATATCTACAATAAGTGTGAATTCATCTTAATTAAATTTAAAATAAGGATTTTGGCGACCTTATATAGATACAAGTAAAGTATCCAGTTGTCTTAATTTACTCAGTAATTGTTTGGGAGGATTGAGGGAGGGTGATTTATCTTGTTCAATCGGACATATCGGAGCATTATGTGAATAATGCGATTTGTATAATACGAGAGGTGATGGTGAATTCTCTGTTGGCTAAAGGTTTGTTTGCGGTTCCTGTTAGGAGACATAAAGAAATACATTAATTATTACATTAGTAAGTTTATGGTAATAATTTATATGTTATTGAAGGACTTTAATTTCTGTTTTTATTTCTGTTTAAGGTACAATAAAGGCGGCATAGGATATATTACCAGATTTTAAGTCTGTTTTTTATCGTTCTACTTATTTTAATTAAGATAGTTCTGCAATTTTAATGAAACTTTTAACAAATTATTTATAAATTTTAGATACAATAAGTACATTTTAAATAGACTTTTCAAATGAATTATAAGGTACTTTATAAACTATTAGTTCACCATTTGAGTCAATGATTTACTCTTTAGATTGCTTTTTATCAAGTACTTTCTCATATGAAATACATTATGCAAGAATGATTTGGGAATTAATCACACCTTTCTTTTATACTAGCTTCTTCTTTTTAATTTACTTTATTGCCTTCAAAATTGGATATGCTATTTTCAATAAAAGTGTCATAACAACTACACTCATTTATATCTACATCTATTTATAACCAACATTAATTGGTGGATTGATGCTATTGGTTTCCTTTAGGGAGGTCTCAGATTATAAATGGATTTCTGCAAATGTATCTTAGAGGTATGACACAGAAATCCATAAATTATGGATGTTTAGATTTTGTATACCTACACTTCTTTTATTTTCCATTGTAATACCACTCTATTTATTAATTGGGCTTTACAAAAATAAAGATAAATTTAATAAAAAATTGGTGCGATAAAGTTGGGGTTATTTGTACATAGAATATCGATATTTAACCTTTTATTGGGAAATAGTTAAAATATTTTAGAGAGAATTAATTATCCTCTCTTTAACATATTTTGAAGATAGTATTCTCATCAAAGCAATAATTGTGGTTTTGATTTTAATCCTTTACTTAGAGTTGAACAAAAAATTTAAACCCTATAATCTAAATTATTTAAACTAGTTGGATTATTTTTTAACAAACACTTGTATAATTTCAATCAATTTGGGAATAGGATGCTACTTCTCATAATATTCAGGCTCAACAGAACTCTCATATATATTTATCTTAGTCTTATTGTTCTTAAATATTTATTCAATTTCATATCTACTATTGAAAATTATCAAAGAATTTTTAAGATAATAAATTAATGAATTAGAGTAAAAACTGAATGTATTTAAAATAAAGTTAGCAAGGTTTTTTCCATGTTTAATGAAATATAATATTATTTAAAAATTATTAAGAAATCATAAAGAAAAATAAGTAAGGTAGAAGTATTTAATTAAAAAATTAAAAACATATCTTTTGAAAATTGCTAAAAAAATTATCATCATCAAAAATTAAGAAAAGTATAATTGTTTTCAACCTGAAAATAATTGTGAATAATTATTAGATTCTAGAACAATTACTCCCATCATATCTTCTTCTGAAAAGAATCTGTGTAAACATCATTTGGTTAAAACTAATTCTCTGATAGCGTTATAATAATAAAGAATTAGTATATAAATTCTTGACTAAAAGTATTCTTTTTTTATTAATTTAAGACCTACATTGTTATTAAATATTAATGCTAATGATACAATATCTGGAAGATAAAATTGAATTTTTATTGATAAACTAAAACATGATTAAATATTTGGATAAATCAAGTTATTTAATATAATTATATATATATATTCTTCATAAAATCTACTAATTTCTTATTATTGATAGATATTAAATATAGTTAGAGAATATGGCATTAAAATTCATTTAAATATTTTACTAAGTAGAATATTTATTAAGACATAAATATATTTTATCAGTGAAATTCTATTAATAATAGTATTTGTTAAAGAATAATAAGTTTTCTATAAAGTATTATTTGTTATTTAAAAAAATGTCAACTGAAGATGCGGTTTTTTAATCATAAACATTAGATAAAAGAATTGACCTCGAATTTGAACAAGATGAAAAGGTTATAATTATAGAAATTAATCCTCAAAAAGTGTTAAAGGAATTCTTTGCATAATTTCAGCTATTGAATAGAATTATTGTCAGATATCTAAATTATTCTCTATAAACTTGTTTGGAAATCTAGTACGGAAGAAATTAATTATTAATTTCATCTCAAGACTCTAGANAGGTTTTTTCCATGTTTAATGAAATATAATATTATTTAAAAATTATTAAGAAATCATAAAGAAAAATAAGTAAGGTAGAAGTATTTAATTAAAAAATTAAAAACATATCTTTTGAAAATTGCTAAAAAAATTATCATCATCAAAAATTAAGAAAAGTATAATTGTTTTCAACCTGAAAATAATTGTGAATAATTATTAGATTCTAGAACAATTACTCCCATCATATCTTCTTCTGAAAAGAATCTGTGTAAACATCATTTGGTTAAAACTAATTCTCTGATAGCGTTATAATAATAAAGAATTAGTATATAAATTCTTGACTAAAAGTATTCTTTTTTTATTAATTTAAGACCTACATTGCTGTTAAATATTAATGCTAATGATACAATATCTGGAAGATAAAATTGAATTTTTATTGATAAACTAAAACATGATTAAATATTTGGATAAATCAAGTTATTTAATATAATTATATATATATATATATTCTTCATAAGATCTACTAATTTCTAATTATTGATAGATATTAAATATAATTAGAGAATATGGCATTAAAATTTCATTTAAATTTTTACTAAGTAGAATATTTATTAAGACATAAATATATTTTATCAGTGAAAATCTATTAACAATAATATATCTTAAAGAATAATATGTTTCTATAAATTATTATTTTGTTATTAAAAATTGTCAACTGAAGATGCGGTATTTTAATCATAAACATTAGATAAAAGAATTGACCTCGAATTTGAACAAGATGAAAAGGTTATAATTATAGAAATTAATCCTCAAAAAGTGTAAAAAGAATTCTTTGCATAATTTCAGCTATTGAAAAGAATTATTGTAAGATATCTAAATTATTCTCTATAAACTTGTTTAGAAATCTAGTACGGAAGGAATTAATTATTAATTTCATCTCAAGACTCTAGAGTATTATTGGAAGATTAAAAAATTGTGATGTTAAAAAACAAATTAGATTAAATAGTGGATACGTAAGGTATATGGATATATTTGAATAAAAAAACTTTAAATTTGAATATTGGATATGGGGAAGCTAGTAGCTCATTATATAATGGAATCAATCCAAAATAGTATAAAATAAATCAAATAAATTACAATATGGTAAGAATCGATCCCCTTAAACTTCTTACCTTAAATTATATCCAGTTAAAAAGGAGAGCTATTCTGTTATCTTATAAAAATGCTAAAATATTTTTGATTTGAATCAAGGGAATTAAGCAAAGAATTTAGCTTCAGAAATAGACGATTTATATTAATAAGCAAGTTAAATTGAATTGCATTAAATAGAATATTTTGAATCTAGTTAATAAGTTTAGGGAGTAGCTAAATTTAATTTAGGGGACTTAATTCATCATAGTGTTACAATTGAAGGATGCAAATTGATCTAAATACTAAAAAATAAATAGGAAACTGCTCAAAAAAATGGTTTAGATCCTTTAATGACTTACATAAGATTGGGATTGGGCCATTTTAATAAAGATTCTGCAGGACATTAATTTGTATTAGAAATTTGGCCATTTAAACATTATTCATCTATTCATGATTATGCAGGATAGTATGGAATAGTAAAGGTTTTATAAGAAATAATTAATGTAAAAATTTATGCCATTTTATCAAATGCCAAACATTTGATGAATCCTATAAAGTCATTAACATGTAATCAGAATGATATGACATGGTTGTCACCTAAATTAAATTAGGTTCATTAACTAAGTAATATCTATCCATAAACAGCAATAACATTATAATGTTATAAATATTCTAAGAAATCCTAAGAAAAAATAAAACAGTTTGCTTATGTTGCAAATTAGTAATATAAAAACTTTAATCCATTATCAGATTTTCCAGATATAGAATTGCATACTATTTTTAAAGAATTAGTTGAAGAGTATTCTAATTTGTATAAAAAAAATGATTATTTTAATTATTTAATTTATATCTAATAAAATAAATTCATTCTAAGATGGAAATCATCTTTTTGATTCTTTTCTCTCTTTTAATAATTTCTGTGGATTATTTGAATTATTTTCATTTGGTTTTAGCATTATCAAAAACTTATGAATATTTTGAAATTTCTAATATAATTTCAATTCTAATAAGATGTTAAGAAACAGAAATTAAGTCATCCATTTTAGCTATTGTTAATAATTTAAAATTTTTATTTTTGTCAATTCCTTACTATTTAATTAACAGTCCAAAGTTATTTGGATTTAATTTCTTTAGAGTAAATCTAAATATTTCTTTTGATCATCAGCATAAAAAATTTCTGTGAATAAAGTATTTGGAATAAAGAAGATAAATGAATCTTCCGCAGCATCTATAGATGTTGTTCAAATGTTAAAATTTCATAAAATTCTAAAAAGGTTTAGGCTTTCTATTATAGAGGTATTCTTTAATGAGTAGTGATTATTTCTTCTCCCATTCTTTTGCTACAGTTGGTCATCTATTAGATTCTTCCAGATCATACATTCTTAAATATAGTTCGATTTTTCACAATAGAAAGTTTATCAAATTAATCTCCAACTTTTTATAGGTATTTAGATTCATTTTTATATATGGTTAAATGAGTTATTATAAAAAACTGAAAATGAAAAAAGTAAGTAATAATTAATATATATTAGGTATATATGCAATCTTTTTATTAAGAATAGATGTATTAGTTATAATATACTCATTTTTAAATTCAAGTTCAATATAAATATTCATTAATTTTATTTTTCAATAATGTGTTCAGTTCCACTCTTAATTTCCCTAAACTCCTTCTCATTTCATGAAGTTCTTTTTCTTCTTTTTTTTCAAAAGTCTGATACCTTATTAAATAAATATCAGATTAATAAATCAAATAAACAATAAAATGGAAAAATATATAATATATAATATATAATTTTCATTTCGAAGTTATTTCAGCCCATTTGAAGGTTATTTTGTTTAGTTTATTTCTTTAATATAAAGGAATGAATAAATGTATTTATATAATTACTAGAAGTTTTTGTGTATATTGGTCTTTGCTATTTAGGTTCTATTTCATGATTTTAGTGGTAATTGTGACTAATTCTAATAAAAATAAATTCTGTATTCTAAACTGAATGATTATTTTATTATTGACTCAAGCCTAACTACTCTTCAATATTCTTTTACTTTAATCTATTTATAAAATTAATGATTGCCTGCTTTCTTTATTGACAATCTCTTTTAAAATTCTCTTATTTTAGGTTTACTAATTAAAGTAAACTAATAATCTTATCGTATTCAACCATCTATTATTATTATTTTTACTATTCTCAATTTCAACATCGAAATTGATTTTAAAACTCCATTGCAACAATTTGTTATTTATCAGCCTTAACTTAATTATTTGAATAAGTTAATTTATTTATCTTGTATGAAATTGAATTTTCCTAAATATTTGAAATTTTCCAATTATAATCCTATTTAAGGCTCTTCTTTTCGAAAATATTGCTTTGAAAAAAAATCCAATTAGGAAATCTTTGTAACTAAATTACCAGAGATTTTAGACAAAACCAAAAGTGTCTATTTTCCATAACCATAGTACTTTTACAAGCAATCAGTAATACATGAGAACTAACCCTGATAGGAATTAAACAATTATAGGAAAGTCAAGTCCAGTTAGGTATTTATACTAACCTTCTTCTAGGTGATAATTTGATAAAATATCAATATTATTTTATTGAACTATTATAGATCAACTCAGTAGGTTATGTATTCTCTACTCACGACCTCAACCCAAGTCTTTTAAAGTTCTGTTACTTAAATTTTTTATATCAACTCAGATTTAATTAGGCTAGCATTTAATTCATTTACAATCATTTATAATACAATGGCATCTGATTCTTCGCTACTACAATGAAGAAATATTCTATTTTTTTAATGCTCTGGAAGTTCTTTAAATAATTATACTGAGTATTTTGGATAACTATCAGAACCATCAGTATAAAACAATATTTCAGTTCTATATATTTCTACATATTTACTTTTCAAATGCATCATTTTAGTGCTGGATAATTAAATGATATGCTTCTTAAAAAGCTTTATCAAAATCGGTACCCCCACAATTTAATTATATTTTTTTCTCCATTTCACCCAGATTTACGCTTTCACAATTAATAACCGTTCTAGCAGAATGGTTAAAAATAATAAAACTGACTCTAGCATTTTTATTTTTCTATATTTATAGCATGCAACCTAAACAACCAGATTTTGCATAATCCCAACGTTTTCCTATCATATCATCAAGCATAAAAATATAGTGAATTTTGGGCTAGGTCAAGAGAATCAATACCATAACTTTCTAAAAATAATCAAATAAAATTTTATTCCAATTTATTTTCTATTAAATTTTTAATAATGCATCATTAATTATATGCATTATTAGATTGCAATTAATACTTAAATCTTTTTCTATTAATGTGTTTCTGCCATTTAATTAATTCATTTATTTACCATGACCTTTATTTAGAATAAGTAGAGCACTCATCTTAATTTTAAAATATTTCTTTTATAATTTTTATTAACAATTCTGATAATTTATATAATTGTTTTCCTTACTAATTTGATTTATTTTAATTAAAATAATATAAGCCTATTGAATCTAAAGCATAAATGATGCCAAATAAAAGTGTAAAAGCATCTAAGCTTTTGATTAAACCTATAAACTTCATGTCTCTGAAAATGAATAAGAATATTTTTTCAAAATAATTGATTTAAATAAATTTTAATTTTTTGATCATAAATATGATTAATATTGAAAGATATTTCTCTTTATTTCTAGATTTAGTCATCTGAAATTAGTCTTATGAGGATGATTCTAATTGTAAAATTATATAAAACTCTAAAATTGTAAATTTAGAGTCCCAAAAAATCATCTCTTTCACCAATTTAAAGATTGACAATTTTTATTTGATTGTTTAATTTTTATTATATCTATATTATCCTTAGTTCTCTTGATTGATCAAATCATAATTCTATTTAATTCTAGTCATGCAAATAAATGCTCTTTCCCTTTCATTTGCTTTCAATGATTTTTTTTTCAGAACTCAAATTCATTGGTCTCTTTTAAGCTTTTAGAAAATCCTTCTTTATAATAGTTGATCCAATTCTTAATTATTTTCAATTAATATTCAGTTAATGAAAGGGATAGCCAAAAACATTATTAACTGAAAGGCAAATATTGGAAAGTATTGATGAAATTTACATCAAGGACTTTTGCTTTCTTTATATAAACTATTCTAGCTTAACTAATTTGAATAGCTCTCTTATATAAATTATACTTACTAACTATCAGTGACATGATTTAATTCATTTTTACAATATATAGGTCAAACAATATGCTTTTTTCCCCCAATTTGTTTAATAATCCTCTTTAATATCCAAAATTGTTATTTCTATTTCTGGTCTATTTTAAACAATTTTATTATTCTGTTTTAACATACTTTTTGAAAGTAATGGAATTAAAACATATTTTTAAAACAAATAAGAACTTTTTTATAGACTATTATAATATTAATAATTCATGGCTTAATAATTTCATCATATCCGACTTTACAATACTAAACATTTTTAATCCATTAGCCACTAATAAAGTATGTGCGATTTTGGCTCTTTATCCTGTCCCATAATAAATATTAATTTATTAATCTTTATTTAGTTTTTCAACATTGCTTTATAGTTCATTAAGAGGAAAAAGTTTAGCATTATCCAATTTGCCTTTTCTCCATTGGGTTTGGTCCTGGTATTGGAGGCACTGTATCATTTAGTAATGGATAAAATTTCATGGCTTATCAAAGCTTAGGTATATGGGATGTTTTAGATGATCGGGCTTGTAATGTATGGGTGCCGTTAGAAGATAAATTAGCAGAATTTTAATAATAAATCCAATAATAGAATTATACTAATAATGAACTATTATTATATTTTGAAGTAAAAGATTATGATAAATTCAATGAATATAGAGGATTTATAACAACTAAAGATTACTTATCTTAAACACAAGATCTCGGAGAAGATTTAGAAGATTTATCATCAGAGATAGAGAAAGCATATTTTAAGCATCTTTGATCAGAATAGCTCTTTATATTTAAATATGACACATAAAGATCCTTAATTGGAATTTAAATTAAAAATGGCAAAAGGAAAGAAATTAATTGATTTTTTTATACGAATTAAATTAAATTTGGTGGAGTAAAATCAGGAAAAAAGAGAACAATTAAAAAAAGAAATGGAATTAAATAGATTAAAAGAGAAATTGGAAAAAAATTGAATTGGATTTGAACTAATTATAAAAAGGTTTGATAGGCAATCGTTTAGTAATAGAATAAATATAATAAGAACTTCAAAAATAGAAATAAGAGCTGTCTAATTAAATATAATAAGTCGAATAAAAATTTAATTAACAATTGACAAACAATATAAAATAATAAGAACTTGGAAAATAGAAATTAGAGCTAGCTAATTAAATATAATTAGTCGAATATAATTTTAATTAACAATTCCAAAAATTAATTCAATAATAGTAAAATCAATTTAAAAAGTTTTCAATAAATCAAATGAAGAAAGTTAAAGAATAAGATTATATCTATATAATTTAAAAACTTAAAGGGTAATTTGAATTTGAATTATTAATTGTTGATGATGAAATTGAATTTTAAGATGGTATTATATATTGAAAGAAGAAACAAATCTTATTATGTCGTATTAACTGATGGAAAATTTTCAAGAGGACAAGAGAGTTTGGAAAATTTTTCACTCATCAATTATAAATAGATGACAAACTAGGATTAAGAGTTGACACAGTTTAACATACATTTTAACTGGTTATTAATGATTATCCTTTTCCTCCAGTCAAAATTAATAAATCAATAGAGGAATTTTCATTTGTTATAAAAAGTTCTGAAAAGATAAATACATTTGCTGCTGATCCTAATTAATCATGAATGTGATTTGAATATTAATGCTTGTGCAAATATTAAAATTTATTATCCCTATGTTCATATAATATATAATCTAAAATGGAAGTATCTTTCATTTTTTTTTCACTTTGACTTAAGTCTAAATAGAAGTAAGATAGTTAATATAACATAAATATTTACTTTTAACAGCTATAATAATAATTAAAATGAAGGTTGCAAATAAGACTTCAGATTTTTGATGGATTGATTTTTTGAAATAGGTTTTATAATTTAAAGTGAATATAATCTCTTTTCATTGCTAACTAAATCAATACAGAATAATAAGAGTATTTCCCTATCAAAAAATTTCTCCTAAATAATAGATTTCAGAAAGATTATTTAATTCTCATCTACATTCTCCTTAACATGACTAACAAAGAGGTTCTTGTTAACATTAAAGGAAAATAATATTTTTGTAAATCTAGGTACCTTAAGAAAATATGAATTAAAAACATTTGATTATTCAAAAATATGAATAATCTGTAGAGAAAATGGAATATATAAAATTGCTGAAGTTTGATGAAAAGTTTTTATCAAATGGTCAATATAGTAGGAACTATGTTTTAATGTTAAAATGTAATTATTATCAAGGAAAAACTCAACAGAGAACAAGGAAATAGTAGATAATGATTAATTTATGTTACATTATCATTAAAATAACAAAAAAGTTGAATTTTAACAAGTAGCTTAAGTCTATTTTTTTAGAATAAAATTTAAATGTTATTACATTAAAGTCAGTTTAATAAAATTACTTAGATATTCGGATATTTTGGATTTAAATGTATTTATACAATGTCTCCATAAAAAATTTAAATTAATAATAAAGCAACTTTTGAATAGAATATCTATATAAGTTTTTGTAAAGTATTAAAATCAATTTATTATATTATAAATTGTTAATAGTGCAGTCAAGAGATGAATCCAATTTTTATAGGGAGTGTTTCTAATGCTGCATATGTTACAAATTATAATGAAAGAAAGAATCAATTTTCTTTTGTTCTTTTAATTAAATAAATTAAAAATATGATTTATGGGTAAAGATTTCAGAGGTGGAAAAGACGATGTAATAGGAGGCGGTCGAGGAGCCCCAAGAGATAGGGGTGGTGGAAGAGGAGGTAGAATGGGAGGAGCTTCAAAAGCCTTTGTGGTTCCACATCCAAAATTGGCAGGAGTTTTTGTAGCTAAAGGATAGCAAGAAGCTTTTGTGACAAAGAATATGGTGTCTAGAGAATCAGTATAAAATGAAAAGAGAATTTCAGTGGAAGACAAATAAACTGGAGAGAAAGTTTAATATAGGGTTTGGAATCCATTTAGATCAAAGATTGCTACTAGTATAATTGGTGATGTTAACGATATTTTCATAAAACCAGGTGCTAAAGTATTATTTTTTGGAACTGCATCAGGAACAGCAATATCCCAATCCAAATGTGGCTTTATAAATGAATACCATAATTAAGTCATGGGTCTAATTGGTAGTATTTTATTTAGATTTGCTAATTAACTACGTAAATAGCTTATCCTGTTTTTAATTATCTTTTGAGGAATTGGATTAATAGATATTAGTATTGTTGAGGCTAAATCATTAAGAATGACCTCTAGCAGAATCACTTAAAGGGATAATTATAAATTTTTAGGACTTCATTAATATCTTGATTGTTAATTACAATAAGTTTTTGGAGAATATTATTTACAATCACTCTTTGTAACTTCAGTGCTTAATTTTGAAATAATTGATATGCAAATTAAATTTGCTTAATCATATAACTCTCCTATTTTATATTATAAATCATCTGAATAAGTGAAATAATAACAATTCGAAAGGATTCATTTTTCGGTAATGATTGATCAAATTTAGAGCCAAATTTAATTGGAGAATTTGTTCAACTTATATCATATAGAGAAATCTCAGGTTATAAATGGGTTTAATCAAATGTTTCTTAAAGATTTGATACTCCTTATCATGAAAAATGGATGCTAGAACTATGTTTACCTATGTTTTTGATTCTTGCAATCCTTATCCCAATCTATTTTTTTTATGGTCTTTATAGTAATTCTAATTTATTAGATGATAAGAAGGTAAGATTTTAATGGGGTTATCTTTATAATGAATACACAAAAAGAGCTTACTTTTCGGAAGTGATCAAAATATTACAGAAAGAATTAATGATCATTTTCTTGACATATTATGATGACAATGTCATTATTAAAGCAACTATCATCTCACTTATTATAGGAGTGTATTTGGAATTAAGTTTGAAGTATTAACCATATAATCTAAACAATCTTAATAAATTAGATTTTTATTCAACAAATGTCTGTTTAGCTTCAATGGCACTAGCTATAGGCGTATATGTTTCAGAGTAATCAAATTCATAAGAAATACAAATTCCATATGCTATTGTAATTTCTATTTTGAATTTTCATATCACAGATACATAAATATCTAAGATTTTAGCTGAATACTTAATAGAGAAGACCAGCAATTTAGATGAGAAGATGGATAAACTTAGGAATTCAATCAGAAATATCTTCCCCTTTCTTTAATATATTCCATCTATGAGAAAAAATATTAGCTGATCGTAGTGAGTAAAGTAATCTTGTAGCCAAATAGCTTAGTAACCAAAACAATTTTTAATACCCTAAGCAAAAGATATTATAGCATTTAAGAATTATTAGTGTAAGCTGACTAAGTATATGTAATTGCATATATTAATTATTAATTTAAATTAACCTTAAATATATTAGAAATTTGTAAATTGTTATTGAGAGAAATTACATTAATCTAGAAACTTTATTACAGCATTTTGTATTGAAAAAAATGTATTTGTATATTAAACTTATTAAAAACTATAGAAAGAGTTGATTAGATAGTAGAAATTTTTAAATTAAGAAATAAAAGTCCTCAAGAGTTACCCCTATTGTTCAAAGAAAAGTATATTAAGGATAATGAAGAAGAGGATTGAATAAATAAATATTAGTATTTTTATTAAAAGATCTTTTAATTGTATGCAAAAAAAAATATTCTATAAAAACTGAGTTTTGTGATGATATAATTTTTGTTATTTTATCATAATTATTAATTTTATTTAGTGTGCTTTGAGAAAAAAGAGTATTCCTATTATTATGTGTTATTAATTTTGTAAAAAAATCAATAGAGGGTTTCATAAGTTTCATTATTGATTTTATTGATGATTTTATAATAATATATATTAAATATTTCTAAAAATATTAAGAAAAAACAATTAATTTATAAGGTAATCAGAATAATATTTTTAATTAAATATTTATTTAACAAATATTCTTTTAATAGAAACATTTTATTCGAAACACAGGAATTTCAAGATTTAATTCGAACAGGTCTGATTTGGTTTGCTCAAATAAAGGCTCTTTGCAGGAAAGAACCCTTGATTTCACCACTTAATATCTTATATTAAGGATTATAACCTGTGGTCTAGCATGATGTTTCAGAAGAAATTTGGTTTCGATAACCAGCAATAGGAGTAATGGTAGGATTCTATTGCATCAACTTTAGCTAAATTAGACCTTAGAGAACAAAGATTATTGGTAATCTAACTCTATTTAACGAGAAAGGTATGAAACTGAATCTATTATAGCTGGGTTTAATTATTTAAGCCTAAATGATTATTAAAAATTAATCATTATTCACCAAATATAAGATAAAAAATAACATTTTTACAGAAGATGCTTCAAATCAACATCTAAGGTTCTTTAGAAAAGTATCCACAAAGTCATCTCTTAAATAAAGAGATGTTATCATAAATCAAGTTCAGCAATTCAAAAGGATTCTTATAACTGAACAGTATAAGTTTATAAGCCGTCTTTTAATGGTATTAGTATTTAAAAATAGTGGCAATAAGCAAATAATTAAAATACTAAGTTATAATTTGTGTCCTATAAAAATTAAATATGAAAGGGGATCTAACGCTATTTTTAAGTAAGAGAAAATCAATAACTTACATATTAAACATAAGGACAGTCTTAGTTGCAAAATATAGATCCAATTTGGAGAGAATAATCTTACACTTTCTCAAATATACTCAATTGAAGAATTCTTCATCTTCTCAGATATCTACCACATCTTAAGGAGATTAAACGTTCATGCTCACTACTAAAAGATTTTCTTGAAGGGCAACATCAAGATTAACAACTTATACATATTTAACAATCTATTCATCGACTTATTAGTGGCTGAACTCAAAGTATATTATAGAATTACCTTGTTCAATTTGCTTAGAACTAATTTTCTAAAGTAGGTCAACAAAAGGTTTCAAATATACTCCAAATTTATTATAGTAGTCTTTCAGTTTTTAATCTCAATTGTCTACCATAATCCGTCCTATATTGGAAATAGCTGTCTATAACCTAAAGGATTAGTTAAAGAAGTTAGCCTAATGTCTCATCTTTCTTTATCTGTACTGAAGCCTTTAGTTAACTTACTATTTGAATTTAATCTGCGTCTACAATTCCTCTTACCTAAGCAGATGGTTCTTCTTAGATCAAGTTAGTCTCTAGTAGTTATTTATAGATCATCTTTTATTACTTCAGTTACTACTTTAACATCTTGGATTTACATTTTCTCTGTAGAAGGATGCCTCCATGATAAACTGTTTCCTCCCAGGCCAAAAGTTAAACAGGTTAACTCTATTTTTCAGCCTCACCGAAATGTTTAATGAGATTGACTCTCCAGACCACCAAAGCAAGGAGTCGAAAATCATGTCTAAACTTACTCAAAAAAATCAAGTTAATGTTTCATCTTAATAAATAACAGAGACAATAGTTTTATCATCAGGGACTTACATCATTAAGGGTGTAAAATAAGGAAAGACTTCATAGGGTTGAATTTACACTTATCTTCCAGCTTTACTAGTTTCCTACAAGATCTCTCTTCCACATTAATAACCTCAGGTATTTTTTATTAATATTGAGTATATTTCTGATTATGTAGTATAAATTCTTTATGGCTGATTATTATTTAAGAGATAGTTTTTAATAAAATTTTGATACTATTTTAATGTGATCTTTTTAAATATAAAGGTTCTTTTATTCTTGAAAATTAATGTCTTTATCAATAATTAAAGATTTACTATAACTCTCATTCCCATAAAGGAAGTATCTACCTAGAATCCCTTCACCTTCTTTCAATATTGCTCAAAAATAACAATTTTATTTTACCACTAGTCTTGATTTAATCATAAAGTCCCTATCTAAAGAGTTTAATATATATGAGCCTATTTTCCCTTATTGATTAGACGATTGGAAAGTAATCAGTATACTAGCTGTTCGGTAAGGTAAGCCATTGTGAAGACTAAGTACATGATCCGCTCGAACTCCTAACAGAATCTCTACTCCTATTAGGAGACTAAATTGATTAATTTTATTCATTATTATTCATTCAAATAATTAGTTAATTTCTTATTTTATTTAATCATAAAAAATTTGCCAAAAATTAATTTTAAATGTATATATTGGTTGATTGTAAAATTTTATCCCTTTTTATGTTATTTCTTTTATGATTTAATTTATTAAGTCTCAATTCTGAAGGGCTTATGTAAGTTAATCTTTTTATAAAAATTTAAGCATTCTTGTTTTATGAAATAGAAACTACAACTTGCTAATAAATATGAAATTAAGACTATAATAAAAGTGGATAGGTTGAAAGAGATGTTCACATATAAGGTTTTATACTTTCTTAAACCTTATTGAAGAGGAAGTTTATTTTGATTAAACATATAATCCTATCATTTAGTTTTGGATGATAATGAATATGTAAATTTCCAAATTTGATAGATATCATGATGCGAATAGAAAAAACTATAACTAATAGCAAGCAAATAGAATAAACAAGAAAAATTCATAGAATATGTAAAAAGTGGAAGACCTTGTAATCATAATATGAGGAAAATGTAGAGTAGATGGATGAGAGGATGGAAATGATATTTAAAAAATAAAACAAGACAAGGGACTTGAATAAGCGTATGGAATATGGGTCGATCACAGATGACAAATAATGGAAATGAATAAAACCCACCATCCATACATATCAGAAATTTTAAGGTTGAGAATTATAGGTTTAAGCTGAAACTTTCAGTTATAGAAATACATGTTATTTTGTTAGGATCTAAAAAAGAGTAAATTGTAATTTTTATTTGACAGTGAATGATATACGTATGATCGAATAATTTATGGAATGAATTAACAACTAAAGAAATGGAGTGTTTAAAATCCATTAACAAAACTTCTTATTTGATAATAAATTATTTTTCTAGTTTAATAATACTCTTTAAGAAAATGTAACATATTTATTAATAAGTAATGATAAGCTAATTTGAATAGGCGAAGCAATTAACTTACAATTTAAAAAACCGAGACATAACAAATAATTATTTCTAAATGTTATGATAATTTGTTATCGTTGGATATAAGATAAATATACTTATAGAAAATAATAATTTTAAGGATAACAATATAAGAAACACTTCATTTTGATTAAAAAGAAGAGAAACTCTCAAATTTCTTATAAAAGCCTCCATTCTAAATTAAATAATTTCTATAAGTAATGTCTAATTGATATTCACGAATTTATAAAAGCTTAAAAGAGGGAGAACAAAGGAAATTCTATAATATTCATTTATCAAGGGAATACCGATAATATAAATAGAGTGATTTATTTATAATAACGAATGTTTCATTAATATTTATAATGAGCTTGAATTTATAACAGATTTATTTTTAATTTATGGCCAATAATTTATTCTACTCTCTTATTAATCTACTGATTTCCAATTATTTTTTTATGAATATCATCATAGTCTTTATTAAGTAGTGTATTAAAAATAAAATTAATATAACTATTTACTTTACCATTTATATTAAATTAATAATGATAGAATTAGGATGTAATTTCATATCTTTTAACATTTTAGAGTGATAAATCTAATAAATTTCATTACTAATTAAAATAATTAAAATGAATATCCTCTAATAAAAATAAACCCAAGAAAATTAAGAAACTATATGCAAAATTCACAATCTAGAACTTATAGCAGTTGATTTGGACTTATCAGATAAAGCACAAATTTAATTCTATTGTGGTAAATGCTTAGTTGAAAAAATGAAAAATAATAAAGTGACAACTATAGAATAATCTAAAGAAAGAATCTAAAAAATAAAAGCATAATAACTAGATATTAAAACTAAAGAAAATTAAGCTAGACTCAATTATTATAAGAATATTTTAGATTAAATTATGGATTTCAAATAATCTATTAATGATTCATTGGAAAAAATGTATAAACAGATATAATAATATATATTTCCAATTTAAAAAGAAAAATTAGAATTACAAAATTATGAATAGTAATATAATTACTTTGAAGATATTAAATAATTATCAGAATTATATACTTAAGACGAATAAAAATCATCGAAATTATTAGAAGATAATAATTTCATTAATGAAATCTAAAGATAATTTGAATAATTATTTAATAATTCTGAATACACATAGACTTTAGATACTTTTAAAAATACAAAATAACAAATAAAGGATATTATGGAAATTAATGTCATAGAATTACTTCCATTATTAATGACTTAAAATGAATCGGTATTTATAAATTAAATATAAATAGAAAACTCCAAGTTTAAGTAGAATATGCAGTCATCATAAAAAGGAAATTATCATGATTGATATGGATACATAAGAAAAGGATATTGAAAAGAGACTTGCATGTGTAGATTGTATTTCTGAAAATCCATTAATTAAATATTCAACTATTGAAAATGTAAATAAATAATGGAAGGAATACAGTTCAGAATCTGAAAAGATTTTAAAAGAGTATAAGAAGGAGAGTAAAGAAAAAAAGGCTGAATTATTTAATTAAATAGGTTAGATGAGGAAGAATTATAATTAAAAATTAAATGAAATTTGCGAAAAATTATTTACAGACTAATACTTATGTATTGATAAGACAAAAGAATCTAATTAGATAAAAAAAATTTCAATTTAAGCATTAGATGATTAATAATTACTGAAAGATTTAAAGTAATTGATAGAAAAGGAAAATGTAACATCAAATTAAGCAGCAACAAATTTAAAAAGTAAAGATTCAATTTTCAAGAAAGAGATCGAGAATCATCTCGAATCTTTAAAACAATATGATTAATAAGATATCTAATAATCATTAGATATTCTTAGAGGCATCTCAAGTAATACATTTATTTAGATTTTTAAATAGTTGAAAGAAATTTTATAATATAATTATCTGATACGATTTCATAAATATAAAAATCTGCACAAAAGGATGAAAATTATAAAGATTAAATTAATTTAATATAGGAAATAGAACTTATGATTGATTAGGCGAAAAAATATTAAAGTTAATTCAATTTATTTGATTAAACTATTCAATTATATTAGAAACATGCTTAGATAATAAAATAAATTTAATCAAATATTTAATCTAAAACAACTGATTAGACAGATAAATCAGAATAATTAATCAAGTCTTAATATTAAAATCTATAGAATATAATTAATGATTATGAGAATAACTTTGAGAATAATAGTAAATAGTTGAAGAAGTTTTGTAATATTCAATAATTGGAGAATGATTTAGTTAATTATAAAGAAAAGAATTATAATTTAGAATTAGAAAGTAATCTAATTATTTATTTCATAGATACAAAATAACTAAATTAAAAAAAAAAAGAATTCGAAGAAATAATTACTGAATTAAATAAGAAATTAGAGTTAAAGGAAATAGAATATTAAAATCTTAAAAACTAATTTGATCAAGTAAATTAAGATAATATAAATCTGAAGAAATAATTTGAATAAGATAAAATCAATTTATTAAAGGAACAATAAGATTAATGTATTAATTTTCACAATATTAAATAGAAAATAAATTATAACAATCATTTAATCAAAAAATGGTGTAAAAAGATTCAGAATTAAAAACAGTGTAAACAAAACTTGATGAAATTAATAAGAAGTTAGAAAAAGATAAAATGGAATTAGAAAAAGTATTAATTTTTAATCAAATTATCTAAGAATTTATAATTTTAAAAAGGATTAACATTTTCATATAATTATAAACATAATGATATTGTGATAAGTGATAATGGAAAGATTGTTGATATTGGTAATAATTCTAATGGTTATTGTATGTGTGAAAAAGTGATTCCTAAAATTGGTAAAATACACTTTGAATTCGAAATACTTAGAATTACTTAATGGTGTGAAATTGGAATAGGATTTAGAGAAATGATTAAATAAAATGGATATAAAGGTGATGGTTAAGGTTAAGGGTATTAAATATAATTAATTATAATCTAGATCATATTTATTAAGAGAACAAAGTAGTACATATTTCCATCATTCAAATAATACTAAAGGAAAAGCATTTAACTTTTAAGTAAATGATATAATAATAATGGAAGTGAGTGTAGAACATAAATATATAAAATGGACTAAATACAATTCATAAGATATTTTAGTAAATATTATTATATATATATTTTTATATAGATCACAGAAATAGATACATCTTAAGATTTATATCCATGTGTTTATATTAAAAATTCTAAAGTGAAAATTAAAGATATATCATCATGAATTTTTAATTATATGTTCTATATATATTCATTTTAAGATCAATTAATGAAATTTGAGAAACATTGAGAATATCCTTAAAAAATATAGAATTACTAATTTAAATGAATTGTCTTAATGTTTTTTATTTGAATAGAATTAAACTACTAAACCAAATATTAGCATTGGCTTAAACATTAAACATTCTTGTAAAAAAATTTCAATTCAAATCTAATCAATTATAAATAAAAAGGATATGATATTTTGATTGATTGATTATGTTAAAAAGACCTTAAAATAACCAATGGATTGAATTGTGTGACTTGAACGAAAGTCACACTAAAATGGAAATAAATAGGTAAAGTTTTGTTAAGAGCTTAAAAAGTTATCAATGAAGTATTTATTAATTTAAAAATTAATAATCATACAATTTAAAAGCTGTTTATAAATTTTAAATTAATATATAAATATTATTTGATGACTTTTCTCTAAACAGAAAATTAGAAAACATAATATCTAAGATTTCATTCTTTCATTTTTTTAATCAAGTTACATTATCATAATTATATAAGTTTAACAATTTTAGTTAATCCAGAATGGAATTTCTCCAATCATTATTTTTTAGCTATTAGAATTCTTAAAAGTAAATAATCATGCTTGGATCGTTTGAGTTAATTCAAATGTGATAGAAGGATTTCCATCATAAGCTCTTTGAAGGTAGTAATTCATATTTAATTTAGTAATGAAGATTATAGAGAGTTGATTAATGAATGAATGAATGTTTAATTAAATATAATATTTCAAATTAATGTTTATTATAATGAAATATGAGTATTTGACAGCAAGCTTTTTTTTTTTTCCTAATTTTATTCCTAAGACTGGTTTTGAGTTATGAGATTTAAGAGGCATATTTAAATATTTAAATTGAACAGATGATACTAATAAAAAAGTTTATATTCAACAACTCACTTAGCATGTTTCATTAATTTTACTTGGGTTTAGATTAAAGAATGACCATTATTACACCCTAAATCAGATAATAAAAAAGATAGTTACAAAACCCTCTCTTATAAACTCTCATTGTTTTAATAGAATTAATTGAGATCAAAGATATTTAAATCAATCTAATTTACTATTTTTATAATATTTTTGTTGGATATTTGACTAATCTTCAATAAATGAAAAATAAAATTGTTTTAATTTAAAAAGAATCAAAAATGTAATGTAGAATAAAGAACTGAAAAATTTATAATTAAACATACATTTTCGATATTTAAGAAGTTAATAAACCCTTAAAAATATACATCCAGAAATCAGTTTATTTATATACACTCTTAGACGTGAAGAAGGATTTATTAGAGATAGGCATTAAAATTTATAAATTACACAAATGTTTAAATTGAACTAATAGAATTATAGACTCATTTAATATACTGCCTGATTTGAAAATATGACTAATAGAGATTATAGAAAATTGTAAAGCTTATACAAAAATTCAGAAGTTAATTATAAAAAAGTAAAATAGAATAAACTTCAACAACAAGAAAATTGTTGATGAGTTTTATTAGATTTGATGATGCACCTCATATACTAAGAATAAGTGCATAAAACTTGATAAAAAATATCATCTTGCGCTTGTGAAAGATCTTTTGGAAAGATAGTTTATTTTTAAGTTAACTATTCTTTTTTAACAAAATTACATAATATGTGAGCTAACATGAATTTATAAAAAAATGAACATAAAATATAAATTGGAATTATAATTTGATGACAAATTATGATCCATTAGCTATTTAATATTGCAAAAATCAACCTATAAATTGGGTTAAGTATGATTAATATTTGACTTTAGCAATTCCTGAAATAAATTAAACTTCATGCAAATGATCTCTAAGAATATTAGGATTTAACTATGTTATTTTGTTGAATTTATTTAGTTATACTTTGATCATCATTGAATTAAATAAAAAATGGTACTTTAAACCAAAATTTAATCTTTGTTAAGATAATAAATAATTGGTTTTTAATGTAAGAAAGAATAATTAATATTATTAAAAGATTTAAAATCAATTTATGATTTAAATCAAAGAGGATTAGTATCAAAATTTTTTCCCAAGATGACTTGAACTATATTGTATAATATTTAAAGGAGTAAGTTGATTGACTAAGAAAGAGTTCTATATGGGATGGGGTGGAATGTAAAAATTAAGGCCTCTAATGATTTGAAGAAAGAAATTAGGGGAAAAAATAGAAATTTATAGTAGTATGATGGGATCATATTCTTTTGAAACCATCTTTTAATAAGTTAAATTATTAGAAATAAATTAAAAATAATTTTTGGAAAATTAAGATAGGCTTTTCCAATAAAGTGGGATAGTATTAGTTTTCAACTTAATCATCATTAGATATACAGATACTTTATAGAAAAAGATTTATTAGGAGTTGAATTAATAAATGGTGTACAATTATACAATTTGATTAAGAATTATATGAGGAAATTAGAGCTTTTTATTTTTAATTGTAATCTTTTGGACAATATTATTTTGATAGATCAGGTTAGGAATCCTCTCCATATTTAATTTGTGTGGGACACTAATTATAGAATTTTCATAATCTTTAATAATAACCCAGTAGCATATCAAATAAAATATTTCACAAAACATCGATGCTAACACGAAAAGAAGTTGTTCAGGGAGAATTACCCATTTTAAACGCTGAAGATGGAATGTGACAAGTTTTCTGTTTTCAGATACTGTAAATAGCGTAGTTTCTTGACTATTAACTCTTTGTATAGTTAGAGCTTGATGCTAAACATCAAAGAAAAAATATTAAAATTTTACCTAATATCTTGGTCCAAATATTTAAATAAAGATTTTAAAATAAATCGATTTGATATAAAATCCAATTATATTTTTATTAATATAGGTAGAATTTCTATTCATAAAGTAATATTTATTAATATTAAAATTGAATATATATAAGGTTAATTAATGTTTAATGTTTTGATAAATCACTATCAAGCTGGAGTTTAGATTCATAAAAGCGCTATAAAGGAACAGCAGAACTACAACTAGATGTAATTGCTTAAACCATAAGTTCCTCCAATTAGCAAATTATTATCTCCTGATTAGAAAATTCTTGAATTTTCATAAATGTTTTATCATGACTGAGTAGTAAATTGTTTAGATAGTCCTAAAAACTTCTTCAAATCTTTCAGAATCCTCAGGTGTCTAAACCAAGTTGGCATTGTAATCACAGCACCACTACTCCATGCATTCAGGTTAACTGAGTTTTATCGAAAAAATAAGGTCAAGAACTTTGGATTCTTATTTCCCTATTCTCATCATGCGTTATTTCTTATCTATCTTACGCATAAGCTACTTCTCGGATATCAAATTTAGTAAACTCAAGGATCATACTTCCTGTGATGCTTTATACAGATATCTACCCTGAAAGCAAATATTTGGCCTTGGCAAAAATTGGTAATCACATCCACTCAGTAGATCAGCAGACTCAGGAGAGGGTATGGTGCTTTAGGCTCACCCAATTAGTATTTAGGTGAAATAGATTCCATCTTTCCAAATAATTATCACGTGGCCTATGCAAAATTTTTAATATAATTTTTCGGTTGATTAAATAACATAATCATTCTCAAGTTTACATATCATTTATTCGAAGAGATCAATTTTTATTAACATAATATTGAATTATAAATATTAAATGAATATTCTTAATTGATAGTTAATCTAAAATCTAATTATTAATTGTTAATTTGTCGATATGACAATATTAAATAAGTGTCCTTAATCACATGCTATTATTTTTATATCATCTAATTTGGTGACAAAGTGCTCATTACCTGTTAATTTTGGATTTAAATATTAAATAGGATTTGTAGAATTATAAATTTATCTTGAACCTCAAAGATTATTGAGGTAGGAAAATGTGATGATTATTTAATCAAATAAGAAAGCATAATTAAGATATATTTGAATAGCAGAACAAATAATAAACTAATCTTAAGCATTATAGCTTATAAAAATATCAATGAGATTTTGATGAGAGAATTAGACATTTTACTAAAGATTAATAATTTTGGATTATGAAGTGATGATATATTCTTTTTGTAATTTGTTGTTGAAATACGAACATAAACACAGTAAAAAATAAATGATACCTAATTGAATATTGCATTAGTAATTGTTATTTTTGAATATCAGTGTAATAAGTAAAGTATGGATTCTAATTTGAAAGAGTTTAATTTAAATTCCTTATAATATTAAAGTGTAATTTTAACGAATAATAGCTTTGGAAAAAATAAAAAAGGCCAAAAATTTAAAAGGAAAAATTTAAAGTATAAAAGTATAGAAAAATTATAGTATTTTTTATAAAATCAAAACGATTTATGAATAGTTTCTATACTATTTGTTTTTTTAAACATAAAAATAATCAATATGCTTCAATAATATCATATGATGGTTTTAGAGAGGAAAACTGTCCAAGTATCTAAAAGCATGTAGGAATTACTATAATAATCAGCTGAAAAAGTTCAATTAAAAAAAATTCGAATATTAAAAAAAAGATTAATTATTAGCACATAACATGAAAGATTTCTATTTAATATTCTTTTTCCATAGGAAAGGATGGATGGATATTACTAGCAATTCCCGTACCTGAAAACCTTCAAAGATGTTAATAAGGATCCTTATGATTTATGAAAAAGAAAGCAGTAAATTGAATACATTAACTAGCTAAAAATCAAATTAGAAATTCAAAAATTAATAAGTGATTCCAATAAAACAGGTAATCAATC